AATCAAAAAACAGACTCTAACTACAGAGAACAAATGGATGGTTACTAGAGGGGAGCTGGATGGGGTGATGGGTGAAATAGGTGAAAAGTATTTTTAAAAAAGGTATTAAGAGTACACTTTTCTTGATGAGCACTGAGTAATATATGGAATTTTTGGATCACTGTATTGTACACCTGAAACTAATATAACACTGTATGTTAACTATACTGGAATTAAAATTTAAGAAAAAATTGGGGCCCCTGGGTGGCTCAGTTGTTAAGCGTCTGCCTTCGGCTCAGGTCATGATCCCAGGGTCCTGGGATCAAGCCCCGTGTCGGGCTCCCTGCTCTGCGGGAAGTCTGCTTCTCCCTCTCCCTGCTTGTGTTCCCTCTCTTGCTGTGTCTCTCTCTGTCAAATAAACAAAATCTTTAAAAAAAAAAATTAAAAAACACAGTATCCCCTCACCTCTACCAACTAGATGCCCCTCACCTAAGCCCAAGCTTTGACAACCAAAAATTTGCCATGTGTCCCCTGGAGGCAAAATCACTCCCAGTTAAGAATAGCTATACTAGACAGTTCTCCTTGACTGAAATATATTTTTAATCTATGAAGACCTATATGTAATAGCTGACATATTTATGTTGTTAGTGCTTATTTCTAAAAATCCTCTTCTGCAAATCAAGATAGTTTTCCAGTAAGTCAGAAACAAATCTGGGTAGTTTGGTTTCAGCAGTCCACTGCCCTCCTGCCCTGGCTCATAATGTTCTATCCTTTCTGCAGCAAATTGCAATAGCAAGAGAGGGGGACTTGCTGACAAAGGAGCGTCTCTGCTGTGGCCTGTCTATGTTTGAAGTTATCCTGACTCGGATCCGGACCTTTCTGGATGACCCTATCTGGCGTGGGCCTCTGCCCAGCAATGGAGTCATGCATGTGGATGAGTGCGTTGAGTTTCACAGACTGTGGAGTGCCATGCAATTTGTCTATTGTATTCCTGTGGGAACACACGAGTTTACAGTCGAGTAAGTATGTGCTCAGTGGATGGGGAAGTGGGAGCAGGCTAACAGAGAAGACTGCATTCCTCTGGAAATTGACTAGAAGTTTGCTGAGCTGCTTTGAAGCCATTTAAGTGGATGTTCTTACTTAATGCTCAGGAGGTGACTCAGGGTGAAGTTTTTAGGTGTTCTCTGAACCCATGGAAACTTAGGCAAGTTTGGTATGGGTTTTTCGGGGGATTGTCCACAGCTTCCCAAAGTCATCCTTCTTGAAGAGTCCATGATCTAAAAGGTTAAGAAGCAGTGTGCCAGAGGAACACAAGAGATGTTTACCAAAAAGAAGGACACATCTCCTGCTGCTCAGCATTCCCTTCCTGGCTTGTTTCAAGTAGATTCCTTGGTCATTGACGTCTGGACACAGACTTATAAAAGACTTTATAATTTTTTGTTGATTGCCCATTGTACTTGCTGCTTCTTGTTTTTAGGCAGTGCTTTGGCGACGGGCTCCACTGGGCTGGCTGTATGATCATTGTACTTCTTGGGCAACAGCGGCGCTTCGCAGTCCTGGATTTCTGCTACCATCTACTTAAAGTCCAGAAACATGATGGCAAAGATGAGATTATCAAAAACGTGGTATGTGGAAGTGAATCTTCCACCATATGTGGAAGTTTCACAAAATAATCATACTTTGTACTTACTAAAATTCCTTTTTTGGGGAATGCTTTTCATCCCAGTACATAAGGTGACACCAGCTGAAGCTTTCTTTTCATTTCCAAAATGAATCTATACTTGATAAAGCAGTCAGGCAGTTAAAGTACTAACTGTTCCATGTTCTTTCTCTTTTTAGGGTACTTAGATCTGCTTCATATTATACAGCCTTATAGGATCTGCATTTTCAGATTATTGGCATACTATTCAGTCTTCTGGCTTTTTTTGTGGCCAAAGTGTGTGTGGTTTGTTTTGTTTGATTTGTTGGTTTGTTTGCTTATTTTGGTGCCTTTAAGATCTTTTTCCCTTTGTCATTTTATGGATTCTTTATAATTGAATTCTAGAAAATACTCAGCCATTATCTTTTCAAATATTTAAGTCTTTTTTTTCCCATCCTCTCTTTCTTTTAGGACTACAATTATATACTTGTTAGACGTTCTTCTGGTTCCCATATCCCTCATCCTGTTAGTTTTCTAATTAGTTTCCTAATCCACAACAGATTGCCAGAGATTTAGTGGTTTAAAACGATACCCATTCTCTCAGTTCTGTAGGTCAGAAATCTGGGTACAGCATGACTCAGCTGGGTCCTTTATCATCTCAAGGCCAAAATTAGTGTATCTGTAGGGCTATGTTCCTTTCTGGAGCCTATAGAGATGAATCCGCTGGACACAGTCCCTTGCAGTTGGAGGACTAAGGTCCCCATTTCCTTGCTGGCCATTAGCCCACATCTCAAGTCCCGCCCATGCATCCAGTCTTTTAACTTTCCTTTTGCTATATCTCCTGCCTCCACCTGGAGAAAGTTCTTTTCGCATATGATTGATTAGATTGGGTTCACCTGGAAAATCCAGGGTACTTTACCTGTTTTGAAGTCTATAATCTTAACTACATTTTCAAGTCTCTTTTGCCGTGGAAGGTAACATGTTCATAGGTTCTGGGGATTGGGGCATGGATGTCTTCAAGGAACCACTCCAGCTCCCATGTCTTCATTTTCTTGTCTCTCTGGGCTGTTCCCGGAATACTGTATTATTCTGTTAACTAATTCACTTCAACTCTAATCTACTGTTTTTAGTTTTGAATAATAGGAGTATAACTTGTAATTCTAGTGTCTGAAGCCTCAAAGGTTATCTGAAACTGAAATATTTTGTGTTGGGTTTATTTGCCAGCTCTTGTCCAATTGAACTTAATTTAGATTGCTTTTCTTTTCTTTTTTAAAGATTTATTTATTTATTTGAGGGAGAGGGAAATTCAGGGAGATTCCACGCTAAGCGTCGAGCCTGATGTGGGGCTCGATCTCATGACCCTGAGATCACGACCTGAGCTGAAACCAAGAGTTGGACGCTCCACCAACTTCACCACCCAGGCACCCCAAGGATTGCTTTTCTCCCAAGATTTTTGCTTCTCGTCTCCACGGACTGTTACCAAATTGGGGTCACCTTAGAGGGTCCTGGCTTTATTGGGAGTTTCTAGGTGTAGTCCCGCTTGTTGCCCAGGACATCTCATCCCACTGCTGCTGGTGCCATCTGTCCCTTAGGAAGTCCTGGCTTCTGCTTTACCTCCTGCATAGACAAAACCTGCAATGCTTTTTAAAGTGTCTTCCTGTGTATGTGTGTGCACATGAGTGTGTTCTTTATCCAGTTCTGTTGTACCAGCACAGTCTATCAAAGTATGCTGTCCACAAGAACTGGAATCTAAGACTTGGATTACTGGTCTTTCCCCAGTGACCATATTATTTTCATCTTTACATTCCCAGTTTTTAATACACAGCAGCTTCTTAATACCTGTGTGTTGAATGAATAGTAGGTCTGTAACAGGTAAACCTATAGTCAGTAGCATGAGACCCAATAGAGAGATGTGTTTAAATGCAAAATATATTCATTGTTCCAATAGGTATATTAAAGAGATATGTGTGCTAGTAGTTTGCTGTAATTTTTATGAGAAAATGTGAAAATCCTGCCATTTTGAAACATGACTAAATATACATGTTTTAATAGTAAGACATCCTAATTTTAACTGTTGCAGCCATTGAAGAAGATGGTGGAGAGAATTCGCAAGTTCCAGATTCTAAATGATGAAATAATTACTATCTTGGACAAGTACTTGAAGTCTGGCGATGGAGAAAGCACCCCCGTGGAGCATGTTCGCTGCTTTCAGCCTCCTATCCACCAGTCTCTGGCCAGCAGCTGAGGACATGTGTATCATATTTTTGAAGAGTCCCAGTACTGACTGTATTTAATAACTATAAGGGCATGTTTTTCTTTCCATAACGACTTAGCAAGATTTTTAGGGACTTTTTAATCAGTATCTCTGTGTGTGTTAAAGGGGGTACTTTTCAATTTAAAAGCTTAATTTTATAAAATTGACTTATTTTTCTAGACTAAAATTGTATATGCTTTTGGTAATTAGAAAGTCTGAGAATATTGGCTGCTTATTGTTGCCATCATGTTCTTACAGAATTATTTTCCATTTTTCTATGGAATGTTCCTAGCTGTGTCAAAGTGCTGCTGAGTTCATCCATTTATTCCTTAGCAAAGGATCAGTATATGTGGGGAAAGATTTATGGACTTAAGAAACTTAATACCAGCTCATTGTAATAAAATGCACTACCAATTAGAATTAATGATTATTTAGCTTTTGTGTAGGGATTTTTCTGATGGTCTTTTATGAGTAACCTTTTCTAAGTATTGTTCCCTTCCCTTTTTTGTGTCAATGTTTCAGAAAATAGTGAACTTGATTCCTCTGCTTCTACTAAATCCAGTTGTGACAGAATCTAATTTGTAAGGTAGGATTTAAAGGTTACAGAAATAAAACTAATAAAACTTATTTGTGTTTATTCATTTGGTGGTGTGACCTATGCCCTGGTTTGGGCAAGGTACTTTACTTACCTGTACAGACCTGGCCCAGGAAATCTGAGTCTAGGCCACCTGCAGCCTTCCAAGAAGGGACAAGATCTTAATAGGGAGTAACTACCATATGGCTTTGGAAACAGAACACTAAAATCCAGCAGCATCATACATGCTACTGAAAATAAAGTCTGTGAACTATTCCATTGTACTCTTTAACCTTGACTTAATATGAAATAGAACTGTTCTTTACCACAAGTTACCTAAAAATGTTGCTTTTGGTAATGTGAATAACCCTGGGGCCAGCATTCTGCCACAGACTGAGGGTAGTATCTGCTCACCCTATACTGGAGTATAGACTATGAGGAATTAATGATTAATGGCTAAATTTAAGTAATTCATATTACTAAGTTCTTTAAGAGTCCATTATAAACCAAATAATATGTAAACATTTATGTACAATTTCAAGTGCAATAAGATGTTGAATTAAGAATTTATTAATCTATGCATTCTGAGTGCCGTATCACACCCACGGGGGTGAAAACTGGTTCTGTTAGGTGTATAGATATATAGTACATAAACAGTGTTATCTGTGACATTAAGATTACATGGGGGAGGCAATTAGAAAAAAAAAGTCTACAAAGGCTCCTTAGAGGATTCAAAAAAAAAAAAATGGGGAAAGGGAATTTATTTCATGAAATTTTGCCCTGATAAAGCCAATAGCTGTGTGGTGGGACGCTGGTGCCACCACCACAGTGAGGATCCAGCAACCCCCAGGCAAGGACAGTGAGGCACCAGTGGTGACTGGTTACACAGTAGGGGTTAAGCTGTGTGACCTTGGACAGGAGCAGCACAGTGGGAACAAGCCCATGTTCTTCCTACTACCCAGGTGGAAATGGTATTTTTAAAAGCCCAATTAATTGCTATGATGATTGGTTCTGAAGCTGGATGGAGTTCATTATACTAGTCTACCTTTTTTGCATACATTTGATATTTTCCATAAACGTCTTTTCATGGACATTTTTAGACGAAAATACACCGTGATCTGAACAAACTCTAAAGCAAAATAAGATACTGGGTACAAAGAAACCATATTTTACAAACATGTTTGTTCTAAGCATTCAGACTTGAAAAGAACTTCCAATTTGTCTTTTTATTATAACATGAGCTAAATTTAAGAAATTAGTCTTTGGACTTTATTTCCCAGAGTTATTAGATCTAGATGACAATGTAACTCATTATGAAAATATACTGAAAAGTACAAGAGCTGATGTAAAATGGTAAATCAAGATTCCAGGTATCAAGGGATCAGAGTGAAGAATAAAACCAGTCAGGCTGCAGCCTGACGCAGATGAGCTGGTTTTAGCAAGGTGCCATCAAGGAATACAAAGACCATCAAATGTGTGGTGAAAAGTCAGTGTGAGAAACATCTCCCATCACGCAGCTTCCTACCCTTTTTTGTTTGGTAAGTTGAGTTTTTCTTCATTTTATAACTTACGATTCTCTTTAATATCTCAAAATAATTCATCAAACAGGAGTCATTTTTATAATTAAGGTAAATCACAGGATAATGTGTTAGGAAAATTTTGTTCCTTTTTAAATCAAAAAGCCTTCAAATGGTCAGGGATTGATGGAGTGGGGATGACAAATGTACATTTCAGATTTTCATCACCAATGAAAAAATAAAGCATTTTCAATAGACTTAAAACTGTCAGTGCATTTAGATTTCGGTGAAGGAAAAATTTAAAATACCTCTATAATAATACAATGTTAATAGAAATTGGCCAGGTACTGAGGTCATTTTAGTGAGCTACCATCATGTAAATATAAGAAAAGTAATTTCTTGGTCCAAATCAGTGAAACTTTAAAAAAGATTGTCTCTAGAGAACATTTTTTTTTTTTGAGAACAATGCTTTTTCAGACACATTCTGATATTAAAGTTCACTTTATAACACAATTATAGATTAACCTTTTAATTACATTTTTCTTAAAAAGCTGTGAGATTCCCATTTCTTCGGGAGATATTTTCGCCACTGTGTTGTTCAATTCCACAGGTTAAGCTTTCTTCATTATTATTAAGAACTTCATATATGTTAGAGAGATTGCCATTCATTGCTTTTTCGTCTTTTCGAAAAGACACAGGGAGACTTGCTAGACTAAAGCTGACATCTTTAAAGGCATGCAACAAGAATATTCCCACAATGATTGTAAAGAAGCCACTCAAAGTACCAATGACATCATCAACAGGCATATCTTGCCATTCCTTAAAAAGAATAGCTGAACAAGTTAAAACTGATGTTGTAAAGAATACATAATATATTGGAGTCACAATGGAAGTATTGAATATATCCAGGGCCCTGTTCAGGTAGTTAATCTGTGTGCTCACACAGACTATAAGGCTCAGCAGCAGAATCCAGGCCAGGGGATGTCGCAGCACAGGCTTTCCAGCAAAGAGCTCTTTGATAGCAATGCCCAGGCCCTTAACACAGGAGACGGAAAATGCTCCAATTACAGAGCAGATTGTTATGTACACAAGAATGTTTGTCTGTCCATGGCGAGGTCCCACCACGAAGATTAGTATCAATGACACAATGACCACAAGTGTTGCAAAGACCACAAAACCTGGAGGAGGCAAAGAAAAGTTGTATTTAGTCAAATGCGTTAAGTACTAAAAAAAACCCCTGAGAATCCAAAACAAATTATTAACTCAAGAGGAAGGAGAAAAGGTGTGACCTTAAAATAAATACTAGCTTTCTTTTGCTGCCCCAGCAAAAGTACACTCATAAAAATTTAGTTAGATGTATATACTGGGAGATTACACTATGCTTCATATTCATAAACTTAACATTTTTAACATAGTGTCTTAGGCCTCATGATAATTAGATAATAGAAAACGGAGATCAGGCTGATTTGCAGCCACCTACTCTAGAGTATCTTGCTACTTCCCACCCACTGGAATGCTCTAACTCCAAGAATGGAAACAATCAGGAACTAGTGGAGGGAAATCATGAGATGACCTTGAACATTCAACAATTTATAGATGCTAAAAAAATAACAGCAGTTACAAATCAAGTTTGTCCTAAAAGGAGGACACTTTTAAAATATTTAATGACAACCACTGGAGTAAACAGAGAATCAATAAGAGAATCAAAAATACTGTCAGGGTTCTGGCTGAATATGAAGAACTGAACCCAGCTTAGTAATAATAATAGCTAACAACTATGTAGCACCGTGGCCCAGGCACTTTTCTCAGCAATTTGCACTGATTAACTCATTTAATCCTCACATCCACCCTATAACATAGATACTATCATCTGCATTTTAAGATGAGGAAACTGAGCCACAAAAGTCATATGAATTTATTCTGTTCCCTCCTTAAACTCTGCCAATAAAATAAGTAGTAATAGGACTTTTTTTTTTAAGATCTTATTTATTTGACAAAGACACACAGCGAGAGAGGGAACACAAGCAGGGGGAATGGGAGAGGGAGAAGCAGGCTTCCCGCGGAGCAGGGAGCCCAATGTGGGACTCGATCCTCATGACCTAAGCCAAAGGCAGTCGCTTAACGACTGAGCCACCCAGGCGCCCTAGTAATAGGACCTTAAAGAAGCAAACACACAAAAACAAGAACGGGTGAAGGAGATGATAGCAACAATATTATGGAAGCCAGAAAGCAGAAGATAAACTCATAACTGTTACAACACATCCAAGAAAGCTGAATCCCACATCAACGATGATCAAAGATGGGAAAGTAACTCAGTCTGCAGCACAGAACACTCTGAAGACACAATGTACTTCTGGAAGTGCTGGGGTAAAGGAGAGACAAAAACTGGAGACCTGGCTGAAAGTCTATTAAAGAAGCATTAAGATTCCAGGAACCCGGCTCAGTTGTCAACATCTGAGTGTAATTCCTGCCACAGCAAACTGGAGTACTCTGGCCAGTTGAGTGTGTAGGTGCCACACTAACATAGGGGCTTGGGGTAAGGTCTAGGTCTATGACATTAACTCCTCCTTTCCCACTCAACTCCCAGCACTCAGGCAGGAGACTTTGCTGGGGATCAGACAAAGCCTGATTTCAGAAGGCAACCAAGGATCACCAGGGGAGGAACCAAAACAAACAGAAAAACACAAAGCCTTTGTTTGCTCTCAATGTAGACAGAGGAAAACTTCGGAACAGATAAATCACCATCCCACAAAAACAATAAAAATACTGGGGGCAGAGCAAGATGCCGGAGGAGTAGGAAACCTGGATTTCGTCTGGTCCCAGGAATTCAGCTGGATAGGGATGAAACCATTCTGAACACCTACGAACGTAACAGGAGATCTAACAGGAGATCGAAGAATCGAAGAAAGGAATAGCAACAACTATCTGAATAGAAAAGTGACCACTTTCTGGAAGGTAGGATGTGCAGAGAAGTGAATCCGAGGTGATATTTGGGAAGACAGACGGCGGGAGAGGGATCCTCCGTCGGCTGCTTCTGTCAAATGAGAGAGCCGCAGCGGTGTACAATTTTGGAACTTTTAGAAATCTGCTCCACTGAGGGACGTCGCTCCAGTAGCTAAACGGGGGGTGGGGGGTGGATCTCACTCTGGGACACTGTGGTCTCAGGACCCTCGGGGTCACAGAAAGACTGGGGGTGCCTGAGTGCGGCACAGCTCCCAGGTATCGGAGCGGGGAAGGGCTGCAGAGACGGAGCCGAGGCTTGGGCTCTCAGCTCCAGGTTGCCATAAACCGTGATCTGCGGCACAGTCGGGCCACTGCTCCTCCAGCAGGGACCCAAAAAGCAGCAGATCCGGGGAGACTCCCCTTCCTCCCTGGGGAGGAGCGGCACGAGAGCGCACTGCAGGGATCTGCTGGGTTTGGAGACTCCACACAGGGCCCTGCGCCAGAGATAGAAATACTGGGTAGCGGCCGGAGACCAGGGAGACAGGAGTGACTGACTGCTTTTCTCTGGGAGGGGAACTGAGGAGCGGGGCCCCGAGTCCTCGGCTCCTCCGGGGTGGAGATTGGGAGGCGGCCCTTTTCACTCTGGTCCTCCAAAGCTGTATGGAAAGCTTACAGGGAACAAAAGCTCCCAAGAGCAAACCTGAGCAGATTACTTAGCCCAGACCCACAAGGGCGGGGCAATTTGGGAACCAAGGCAATAGGCCCCGCCCCCAGAAGATCAGCAAGAACAGCCAGCCAAGGCCAAGTTTACCAATGAGACCAGCAGAACTCCAGAGCTAGGGGAATACTGCACACAGAATTCATGGCTTTTTTACCATGATTCTTCTTTCAAAGTTAATTTTTTTAAACTGTCTTTTTTTTTTATTTTTCTTTATCCCCCTTTCAACCAACATCTTAATCCCTTTTTTAATAAATATTTTATATTTTTCATTTTTAGAGTCATTTCTATCCCTTCATAGTTGTTACCCTTATTTTGGGTATATATATGTATAAGTTGTTCTCTCTTTAAAATTTTGAGATACAGTTTCTTCTAACAGATCAAAATATACCCTAAATCTCTACTGTATGGCTTTGGACTTTGTTCTAGTCTCCTACCAGATCACATTCTCCCTTTTTTTATAAATCCTCTTCTTTTTTCAACAAACTTATCAATTTCTTTTATAAAACCTTTTATAATTTTCATCTTTACACTCATATTCCATCTCTTCATCATATTTCCCTTATTTTTGTACATATGTGTTTTTCTTTCTTTAAAATTTTGGGAGGCACTTTCTTCTAACAGACCAAAATAAGCCCAAAATCCAGTGTGTGGCACTGATATATGCTCCAGCCTGATCATATGTGAACACATTCTGGTTTTTATTGTTTTGTTTTTGTCTTTTTCTTTCTTTCCCTTTCTTTCCCCCAGGTTCTGGTCTTTTCTGATGTGTTTAGTGTATATTTTCTGGGGACATTGTTACCCTGTTAGCATTTTGTTCTCTCATTCATATATTGTCCTCTGGAAAAAATGACAAGACGGAAAAAATCACCTCAACAAAAAGAACAAGAGGCATTACCGATTGCCAGGGACCTAATCAATTCGGACATTAGTAAGAAGTTGGAACTAGAGTTCAGAATGATGATTTTAAAGATACTAGCTGGGCTTGAAAAAAGCATAGAACTTATTAGAGAAACCCTTTCTGGAGAAATAAAAACTAAAATCTAACCAAGTCAAAATCAAAGAGGTTATTAATGAGGTGCAATCAAAAATGGAGGCTCTAACTGCTAGGATAAATGAGGCAGAAGAGAGATTCAGTGATATAGAAGATCAAATGATGGAAAATAAAGAAGCTGAGAAAAAGAGAGAAAAACAATTACTGGATCACGAGGGCAGAATTTGAGAAATAAGTGATATCGTAAGACAAAAAAACATTAGAATAATTGGGATCCCAGAAGAAAGAGAGAGAGGGGCAGAAAGTATACTGGAGCAAATTAGAGCAGAGAACGTCCCGAATTTGGGGAAGGAAACAGGCATCAAAATCCAGGAGGCACAGAGAACCCCCCTCAAAATCAATAAAAATAGGTCAACACCCCGACATCTAATAGTAAAACTTACAAGTCTCAAAAACTTACAAGAGACAAAGAGAAAATCCTGAAAGCAACTCGGGAGAAGAGATCTGTAACTTACAATGGTAGAAACATTAGACTGTCAACAGACCTATCCACAGAGACCTGGCAGGCCAGAAAGGACTGGCGTGGTATATTCAGAGCATTAAATCAGAAAAATATGTAGCCAAAAATACTATATCCAGCTAGGCCATCAATGAAAATAGAAGGAGAGAAAAAGCTTCCAAGACAAACAAAAACTAAAGGAATTTGCAAACATGAAACCAGCCCTACAAGAAATATTGAAAGGGGCCCTCTAAGCAAAGAGAGAACGTAAAAGCAACATAGACCAGAAAGGAACAGAGACAATATACAGTAACAGTCACCTTACAGGCAATACAATGGCAACTAAGTTCATATCTTTCAATAATTACCTTGAATGTAAATGGGCTAAATGCCCCCAATCAAAAGACACAGGCTATCAGATTGGATAGAAAAAAAAAAAGACCCATCCATATGCTGTCTGCGAGACTCACTTTAGATCCAAAGACACCCCCATATTGAAAGTGAAGGGGTGGAAAACCATTTGATATGCTAAAAAGAGAGCTGGGGTGGCAATCTTTATATCAGACAAATTAGATTTTAAACCAAAGACTGTAATAAGAGATGAGGAAGGGTCTATCCAACAAGAAGATCTAACAATTGTAAATATCTATGCCCCTATGGGAGCAGCCAATTATATAAGCCAATTAATAACAATGGCAAAGAAACACATCGACAACAATACAGTAATAGTGGGGGACTTTAACACCCCCCCTCACTGAAATGGACAGATCATTTAAGCAAAAGATCAATAAGGAAATAAAGACTTTAAATGACACACTGGACCAGATGGACTTCACAGATATATTCAGAACATTTCATCCCAAAGCAACAGAATACACATTCTTCTCTAGTGCTCATGGAACATTCTCCAGAAGAGATCACATCTTAGGTCACAAATCAGGTCTCAACCAGTACCAGAAGTCTGGGATCATTCCCTGCATATTTTTGGGCCACAATGCTTTGAAACTAGAACTCAATCACAAGA